TTGATATCTCATTCTAACTATTTGGTTCATTTATTAGACCTACAGCCTTTAATAAAGAATACCAAAATATTAACACGTATTAAATGGGAATGTTTAGGTTTCTGTATATATACACGGTCGAGTGCTTCGCCTTCCTTTTTTTTTTACTTAGCTCGCGACACTACCGTGTCGCTGGATAATAGATATCCAAAAATATTTAGATGGAATTGTTGCTAGATCGCGCTGCTTATTATACTTTTGATTAAAAAATAGTATAATAATAAAATTAAGGTTGAYGATACTATACCTATACTGGCTATACTTTGTTATTATGACGTTATGGTCCAAGATCTCACAAAAATGGAATTGATACTTAATTCCTATTTAATACCTAGTATTTATTGTATTGGATCTTATGTTTTTTTTTTTTATTCTAGTGAGTGTGGTGATTCCGAAAATTTCCTACCTATATACATAGGTATCATGTATGTAATGTATACTCAAATGAAGCGTTTACTATTGTTTGAGAATTACAGTAGAGTTACCAGGAGTGCTAAGGAGGGTTCAGCTCCCCTCCCCCTTGATTGGCTATGTAAAAATATAAAAAATACGAATGATTCAATGTTGAAAAATTAAAACGTAAAAATCATATTACCTTATGATATACCTACTATAATAGACAATAGTATAAATGTATAATAATATATTTTTATACTTTTATACTGATATTAAACTACCTCGGCTGTCTAATAAATGATAATATATAGGTATAAGGTATTTATATAGGTATAAACTATAAAGTGATAGGTAACTGATATAACTATTTTCAGCCATAGACAATAGACATTTAATATTGTAGCGTAATTATACTTATTTCTGTATGAATTAACTATATTAACGTGAATAAAATAGATTTATTTTATTGAATGCTATGGATACTTCTTACCTAGGTATATATTTTTGAGTAAGTAATTATTTGTTACTATTAAAATTGGTAAATGGACATTTACCCCCTGGCTATTTTCAGTGTAGTAGGACGTCTTCCTATTCTTTGATGCAGATATTTTCCCCTATATATAGGTACATATTTTTAAAAGTACTTATTTAATATGAAATCATTTTTTTTTTTACTAAAGATAGAAATTCAAATATTTTCATTAATTATTCAATTATTTTAATTAAAAAGTCTTTTAGCTATTGTATTTATTTAATTACATAACTTTTTATTAACTTTTAATATTCGAATAACAATTTTTATTTTTTCAAGTCTATGATCAAAAATATGGTCTTATAATGTATTAAATTATTCATGAAAATATTTGAAAATGTATTCTATATTTAGACAAAATTAGACACTAGGAATAAACAGCAATGATTTCATATTAAATAATATAATAGTTTTCAGTACTAATTAGTAGTAAACTTAAAAAAAAAAAATAGGAAGAACCAGTACGTATCAAAGAATGTGTCGTATGAAGATGCCTTACTACAAAACAGCGGGGAAGGGAAGTCAAATTATCCATCAGGATGTACGTATTTACGTATTTAGATATCAATTAATATTTTAYACTGTGTCTTCTATGGACTATGACGGTGTGGCTKGGAAATTATCAAGTTGATTCGGTATAATATTATTGATTAACCTCGACTATCCGGATATCAACACCATAAAGAATAACACTATCACTATACACCAAGTCTCTTAGTCCTTAAATGCACTAATAGTTTTAAACAGGGGAATTCCAAGTTTCAAGATTAGTCTAATCAGTCTAATCTAAAAGTCTACTGTACACAATTCTGAAGCTGTATAAAAATATCTAAATAAAAATAATACACTCAATGAATGTATGGTAATGTTTATCTTAGATAGCATAGTAATATAATTGCTATATTCTAAATTATTATACWTTTACAATTTACATGTTATAATGTACTGCACTACATTGCGTACACATTAAATCAAAGAAAAAAAGAAAATTGATCAATTAAAATTTAAACGGACGTCGCACGCGCATGTGATGTCTCGTCTTATAGGTACACTTATGGTATTGCAAATTTTCGTTCACCAGTTTCAATTTTGTTTTATGCTGTTAGTTTTGATATTTGAGTGAATTAACCCATCATAAAATTTAAAGTATTATCTAGAGCCTTATAGTAGGCTTTTATTGATATATATATAATTTAAAAAGGTCATAATAATTTTTAACTATGTTATGACATTTGTGCATTGTACAATAATATATACACTATAAAAGAGTTAGAGTTTAATAACTATTTTTATTTATTAAATATTTGAAGTCTTGTAGTGRTTTTCGTTATCTTTTTGCTGGTGTTGCCACGATGCCACGCCATTCGCCGATTATTTATTTATCATTAATTTCATCCGTGACCTATATTGTGGTATCGGCAAATCGCGACAAATGCACTGTATAACTCACTTTTTTGAAATTGATTACGTGGGACCGTTGTTTCAAACGTTTCAGTATTATAGTGCCATGGTGGCCGGAGAGGTTCGCGTATTAAAATATAACACTTATAAGTATATTTGATTCTGCTAATAGTCTTATAATACTCAATACAATCCGTGTTTTCATATACTAGTACGTGCATGTGCATTGCCTTGTGTTTTTATGCATACTGCATTGGAATCATTGGATAAGATTAAGATGGTATATTATATTAAACATGTGACTATTCTTTGACATCAGTTTGAGTTTATTCGTTTATTGTTGGTTGCATACCTAGACTTAAGTTATGGTTGCATAGGTAGGTATGTCAAATTTAGCTAAATTTGCTTACGCAATTACACGAGTAGCGACCAACGTCGACGATACAAATGATACAATAAATATTATTATTTATTATTTATTATTAGTATAACAATATAATTTGTTGACTTTATTGTTTGTTGTCATTTGTCGTTTCACATCTGTAAAAAATATTGACCCAAATTCAAAAAAAAAATATAGTTTTTATGATGACGTTATTCAAAATTACTTACACATAAAACTAAAAAAGAATAGATAGTGATGTTTTGAATTAAAATATTAAATGCTATTTGTGATATACTAATATGTCTCGCTTATAAATTAAAATAGTTAATGATAATGCCAATGCGGTCGTAATTTGATTAATACCCACGTCACGCCTGGCACGCCTTTACTCTTTAAGGTGGGTTTTTCAATTATTTTCTTATAACTTTTAAGAATTGCACAGAAATACACGACTAGCAATGGCACACTAAACCTTACTTCTAAAAATTTCAAAATTTTCACTCCATGTCTGTAAGATCTTTACCAAATATTAAATAATAACCAGCACTTAAATTTGATGGGTTAAACTATTTTAACTTTTTAACACACGGCGTCGCAGTCTCATTTCTCATACCTTTAATATCATAATGTAATGAATTAATAATTAATGTACCTATATAGTTCTTAAAACTAAGAGAAAAAATGCGCTATAATAAATATTTTAGAGATTAGGTACATTAATTATAGTATAAATATAATTCATCCGTAAACTGTACCTACTATTGATGAATATTAACAAATATTATGATTAGTGTTTGAAATATACCAATATTAGTGAAAACTTTTATAAAAACGTGAAAAATTAAAAATGTTCTTGATACAAATATTAATTATGATTATTTATCAATTATTTAGTCAAAGAGCTCTAGGTTTAATCATTGATATYCATGRAATGAGTATCWAACACGTGTTTGACATATTACTATTATTGATATAATATTAGGTCT